GATGGATGGATGGATGGATGGATGGATGGATGGAATATTCCCACCCCAAATAAAAGGACTACTCACAAGTAATTAACGTCACCTCACATAAACCACTTTAAAAGACAAACTAAATAAATAAATGGATAATTTCTTCATTATTTTATACTTTGACCACTGTTTAGGGCCAACTTTTAAGCATATTCTGTGCAAAATTAAACAATTGTTTGTGTCTATTGTGTTGAATTTTTGTGTTCATATTGAAATTGAAACTACATTGATGACAAAATTTGGATAACTCCCTTTGAAGTATGTAAATTCTTTAGTGCAATACCTACATTTTAAAGCCTAGAATTCAATACTGTACATTTAGTTTGATTAAGGAAAGTACATTGCAAAAAATATGCTGAAACAAAAAAATACTTTGCCTTAAACATCCTGCTCCAAAGTCTGTAAATGCTTAAACAGTTGGTGACTGATGAAATGTGACAAGCTAGTGAAACTAATGCATCTAACAGTCACTTCCACAGATGGAAGAAGCCAGCTTTACTTCACAATCTGTCAATGAAACCTTCAAAAACAGAAAAATGACTTAACACTGCAGTCAACCAAACACTATTAATATCATGTTCTGACACCAAATTGAACTTATGGCTGTTTAACGGGCATCTTAAATCAAAGTGTCCCAATAATCAACAGAAGAAAGTGAGAAGCATGACTTTTAAATACCTTGTTCCAATGATTTACCTGGTAAACATTCTGCATTGTCAAAATAATGATGTTGATGTAGTAGTAACCAAAATTATTTCCCCCCATACTAATGCTGCTTGTTAAAGAACACTAAAACACTGTCTTCCACGTGTCAAAGAGGCTTTAGATGGGATAAAGATCACCAGGATAATGAAATATGTGCAGTACATTACTACACACACAAACAAATATAGCAAATCTAAAACAAATTAAGTGTTCTTAGTCATTTAGCCTAATTGTGGTGTTTCAGACGGTGTTTCATGGTCTCCATAAACAGAGACGACAGACTCTTTGGATGCTGTGTGTGTCTAAAGACTCACCACAGTGGAAAACCTTCAGCGAGGGTGGCCTGTTCATCTCCCACTCCTCAACCAACATGGAAAACCTTGAGGTGACAGAGTGCTGTGTCAGCACAAAGGAACCACATTTCCTCAACCTTCAAAGCTGTCTTTTTAAACTGGCTTGCATTGTTTCCTCGTCTGGTAAAGTCTGTGTCCTTGGAGTTATCAAAGGGGAATATTTTACTTTCTTGTGTTTTCGAGAAAAGAGACTACTGCTTTCTAGTAGAAGTATGAACATTTCATACTTTTACCACCGGGTAAAATAGCTGAATCCACAAGAGTGCATAACTTGTAAATTACTGTTATTACAAGTTTTAACACCTTAAATGATCTGCTTGTTTATAGGTTTAATAATAACTGTTTTCTAAAATCAATATTCAGAATACAGGACACAAAACACAGAATATTACATTTGGTCACTTATTTATTTTAGGGAATTAAACAGTAGACTGCTGTGCTTTCAAAGGGCAACATCAACAGCACACATAACTTCAATATAATTACTAGCTCTTTGAAAAGATTAAAGTGGACCCACTTCAGATGCAAATTGCTAAAAATACTAATAGTTCAAACTTCACATGGCCATCCGTTTCACATGGCACGATCATTTCAGCAGAAATACTGTATTAGAAAATTTCTGCTGGATATGAATCTTGTTTGCAATGTTGGCAACTACTACTGTGCTGCAATATTGCAGTTACATTGAGAAAGAATAACAAGACAAATAATGTAGAAACACCAGTTATAATACATTAAAAAAGGTTCAGACTATCACATATTTTCATGGAAAAGTGCTGCTTTGTGCAGTTTTATGTAAGTGTTAATTTGTTAATGTCCGGATGTTGCCACTGAAAACAGAGATATGAGAAGAAACTTACTACAGTATTTCATTTTTGTTGTCCTAACTTTCTTGTCCAAAACTTAGAAAGCTGGTTAGAGAATTATTCAGTTTTAAACTGAATTCTCATGTAAAGCTGCAAAAATTGTAAAAGGTTATTATTACCTTTTACATTTTATATCTCAAGAAATACCTCAAGTTTTCTGGTAGATTATTTCATTTGGGTGAAAGACATCTGACATGTTCTGTGATCAGGATTGATCCAGGTTTATTTCAGATCATACCACCACTTTTTTTACTCACAAACTTGTTTGGGTTGCTGTTGCCTGTGTCCAGCAGTCACTGTGTGAGAGGTGGGTTACAGTCTGGACAGGTCACAAAAGTCATCCAACCATCTAACAACATTTCTCAATAGTCTGGTTTCATAAACATTTTGCAACTCAGACATACTTTTATTAAATTACTTTCTTAAATAAATCAAGTAGGCTAAGAATAAACACTTTTCATTCTTCTTGATGATTAATTCAGTTCTGAGCCCCTTAAATCTCATCTGTTAACCAATCAGCATTTGAGCAATACAGTATGTGGCCTTATCTTGGATGGCTATGATTTGTCAGCTTAAAGAAAGATGGCATTAAGTATAGTGTTGCTACTTGTATTTCCACATTTCTTCATTCTATAAAATCATGATTTGTTTTAGTGAAGGTGATTTTCCCCTTGGTCATGTTGCAGTAAGACAACAGTCCCTTTGAAGCCAGGTCACATGGTCGTGTGACTTAGAACACAAGCTTACTGTATTCTTCATTTTACAAAAATACAAACCCATATAAACCAGAAGAGGGGCAGCGCGGCTCAGCTGGTAGAGCTGCTGGATCGAATCCCAGCCGGGCCCGTGGACCTTCCTGTGTAGAGTGTTCATGTGTGGGTTTTCTTTGGTCACTCTGGTTTCCTCCCACAGACCAAAAACATGAATTTTAAGCTAACTGGAACTACAGCGGGTAAAATGAGTTTTGAACACGTCACCATTTTTCTCAGTAAATATATTACTAGAGGTGCTAATGACATGAAATTTTCCCCAGATGTCGGTAACAACCCAAGTGATCCATACATACAAAGAAATCAAACCATTTGTAATAATGTGGAATGGCATAGGGAAAAAGTATTGAACACACTTACTGAAATTTTTCTAATACTTTGTGCAAAAGCCTTTGTTGGCAATGACAGCTTCAAGATGCCTCCTGTATGGAGAAACTAGTGGCATGCATTGCTCAGGTGTGATTTTGGCCCATTCTTCCACACAAACTGTCTTCAAACCTTGAAGGTTTCGTGGACCTCTTCTATGAACTCTGATCTTTAGTTCTTTCCATAGATTTTCTGTTGGATTCAGGTCAGTTGATTGGCTGGGCCATTCCAGCAGCTTTAGTTTCTTTCTCTGAAACCAAGTGAGAGTTTCCTTGGCTTTGTGTTTGGGCTCATTGTCTTGCTGAAATGTCCAGCCACGTTTCATCTTCATCATCCTGGTAGATGGAAGCAGATTTTTATCAAGAATGTCTCTGTACATTTTTCCATTCATCCTTCCTTCAATTATTTGAAGTTTGCCAGTACCATATGCTGAAAAACAGCCCCACACCATGATGTTCCCACCTCCAAACTTCACTGTTGGTATGGTGTTTTTGGGCTGATGTGCAGTGCCATTT